ATAGGTAAAAAGGAATTTCTGTTTCTATTGACAGCAGCACTTCAAGCCGGTTAGCTCTGATTCAGTCACAGCCACCTAATCAAACCCAAACGGACCTGAATTTGTAAAATGTGGTGTAACAGAATGATAACCAGAATGGGAAAAAATTACAAGTCAGCACCCGGATAGAAACTTAATATCCAGTCTAGAAAATAAGGAACATGCACACCGCATAGCAACGAAATCTTTCAATCGATGCAGTGAGGAACAATGATGCCTCGTGCAAAGATGGCTGTTGCTCACGTTTTACAAATGCGCTTCTTTCTGGTCCAATTTCAGGGCATCAGCCATGACTGAACTAAAACAAATTGGCTCAAATCCAGGGACTTCTAGTTTTTTAAAAATTATATCATATAAATGTTATTTATATCCATTATTGCTCATTAAGCTCAACTGTCACTGCTTCTATTGACAGGGTAATTTTTTAATTGGTCTCAACACAAAACAATCCTGTCACCAGAAATAACTATTCAATACTGGACCTTAGGAATCTCAATATTGTACATCAATATTCCTTACTATTTATATATTTACCACTTACTCATCTATTCAAAGATCTATATTGTGATTGTTTTCAAATAGTTCACCAAATTCTTTACTTTGGTTTGAACTATAATTACTTCATGCACAAACAGCTATGAAAATACTAATGCTATTGCAAATATGGCTAATTAACACACAGGAGAATACTGACCAAATGGCTCTGCACAGATTTGAGATCACCAGTGCGCGTTCATTTATCCAAGAGGATTAACCCTTGAAATCCTGGAAAAAACAAAAAAGGAAGCTATTAATGAATCACAAAAGGAAAAAAAGAGAGAGATTCAAATATTTCCTAAGGAAGCATTATTTTCTTTACTTAATTTAAAAGATTTATTTATTAAGAATGAGGTTAAAAGGGATCTTCAGGGAACATACAGACTTTCTTATATTAATATCAAAATACCTCTATTAAAAGAACCTTGGTTGATAGGAAACTACAATAGAAATCCTCAGGATTTTTGTGTGTTTGTAAATTTGTTTTAACCTTTATAAAGCTATTTTTCTGCTCTATATTCAATGACTTGCATATTTTTATGATCCCTATGGAATTATTTAGCCTTAGATTATATAACATTATCCACAATTTAACTAAAATTAAACTCACAAATAGATATAAAATACTGAAATTGGTAATAAGTTAGGATCCAGTTGAGTCAGTAACTCACTCTATAACTTTGGTTAACTTACTTTATGGTCTTATTTCCTCATCTGTAAAATGAGCAGGCTAATGAGATTTTTCTCATAGTCCTTCAGTTCCAAGACTTCCTGCATCATCTGCAGCACTGACATGCTCACTAATTTATGAGAGACAGGGAGTACAAAAAAGGAGATTAAGGGACATATTTAGATATATAAGACTTATTTTTGCCTCCATGACTTAGTAAGAAGAAAAGAACATTTAGAAAGATAAGTAGTGTCCAATCATATTATTTTTTATTATGTATCATCAAGGTGGTAAGTACAATTGGATAACCAAATAATCCAAAATGGGAAGAAATAAGGTTTGACTTCAGGACTTTGCAGTCAGAAATAAGTGGTGTTAGAGATATTGTAGAAAGAAATCCCAGGTGATAGTTTAGAATGCTACTTTGCTGCCTGAAATTCTTCACTGGAAAGGTGAAGTCCAATCTTACCACGGCCAGTAGAACACACACACACACACACACACACACACACACATCGATGTGCCTTGACTACTTGTATTAGCACCTGTTGAGTTTTCTCCTGGTATATTCACTCTCTATTCCATATCTTCATCATGAAGTCTAAACAGATAGTTTTTAAAGCCCACAGACATGATTGCTAAAAATCTCCATGATTCAGCTATCTGATTAAAGTCATCCAATGCAAGAGTAGTCATGGAAATAGTTCCTTCAATTCTCCATTGTATGTATGATTTTAGCTCAACAAAATGTATTAAAATCCTCTTGTGTGCTGAGCCCTTCCTAGATTCTAAGGTTTAAGCCCAATAAACAGAAATAGAAGAAATATCCATCACAGTATTAAGGTAAAATTGGAAAGAGAATGGGAAAATAGGAACCACTGAAAATCCACTAGGAGAGAAAACAAGAACGTGGTCAACATGGGCCTCACACTTGAGGAAGGGGCCATGGTACTACAGTGGATAACACATTTGGTTTCTAACCAAATGGTTGGCAGTTCGAGCCCACCAACAGCTGCATGGGAGAAAGTTGTGGCAATCT